TTGGTGGGACATCAAAGGAGTAATTCATTTCGAACTCCTCAATCCACAGCGAACTGTCAATGCAAAGATCTACAGTTAGCAACTTAAACGTTTAAATCAAGCCCTTCATCAGAAACGCCCTTCACTCGTCAGTCGGAAAGGCGTTTTTCTTCTCCACGACAATGCACGTCCACATGTGGCACGTTTGACGCAACACAAGATTATGTTCGGTGCAACATCATCTTAATGGGAAAACGTATGCAAATATGGAAGGTGCTAAAGAGGACATCGACATGTTTTTTTGCTTCAAAGCCAAATCTTACAACCTGATTGTAAGATGGAAAAGCATCATCTATAAGAATAGGGACTATTTCAGTAAATGTTTTTTCATCTAAAAAAAAGCGACATTTATTTCTTGACGACCCAATACATCTATCACGCGTTTATTTACGACTATAGGCTGATTGACCTATCACTTCTATTTCATACTTTTATACTTGAGGGACTGTGTTGTTATTTTTATAGGCGGGTAGAGTAGTTAATATAATCACCAAACCTTAAAACTGAACAAAGATACTCTTATATCGTAATCTAAAATCTGGTAAAAAACTATTACTGACAAATAGGATCAAACCGCAAATTAAATATATGGTATTTTAAACTCTTTTACGATTTAAGATAATCGACACATACCTTACACTATTTTGCTCTACATCCAATGACTTGAAGAAGAAATGTTGCTTCTAGAGGAAAAACTTTACTCTAAACGTTTCTGTTAATCTTCAAATTAATAATAAATTATTAAACTTCATCTGCTTAATTATAGGCTTAGCTTTATTAGAGCAGGACAATATCACTTATTGAATTCTTCATTACTTAGTGGATTACATTTTATCATATTAGTAATGCTTAAAATAATGGGTAATGCTCAATTAGCTCACATAACCCGATAGGTATCTCTGTTTAATCATTTGTCACTCGTCAGATAAATAAAAAATAAAACAATATTAACAGTTTGTACAAATGTTTTCACAGAGAAAATTCTTATCTCTGAGAAAAAAAAAGAGTCCGTTTAGTTCGAATATCGGTTCTAAAAAATATATTTATTGATTTTTTTCTACTTATTATTACGGACACTTTCAAAACACAAACAAAATCTTACAATATCAAAGTACGAAGTAGTTTACGCGAACATTTAATATATAAACCATTTTTATTTTTATTTTTTGTGTATGTCGAATGAATGTTTGTTTGTTTTGTTTAATTTCACATAAAGTTACACAAGGATTATCCGCGTTAGCCGTCCCTAAAGCTACACAAGGGCTATGCGTATTAGCCGTTATTAGTTTTGAAGGGAAGAAAGCTAGTCAACATCACACATCGCCAACTTTTATCAAATTTGACCATCGCTCTTATTATGCATGAGGTGTTAAGAACTTTCCAACGTGGTGCAGAGCATGTAAAGAAAGATTTTTGTTGGACTTTATGATTATTACATATGTTTCGTAACTGCTCGGTCACGGATGAATGGTGATTACTTTCATGACTACATCACTAATTTCATATGAGGTATTAATCAAATTCTTCTTCTGAAGTATTATTAAAACAATGCTTCTAGTTTTTTTTCCAAAAAGATAGCTAACAAAGCAAGGATAACCATGTCTTTTTACTCAACATTTTCACGTAGCTTTTGGATCACTAATTGTCTTAACTTCCTGTTATTTTTTATTCATTTATTCAAAGCCATAATTTATCGAAGGATGAAGGTGTTCCTGTCACGTTTGTACAAAATGTGGCTTTTTAGGCACCAGCTCTTCATTTTCTTCATGAGCTGGTTTGAGGTTATGAGATTCATTAATTTCACCACTATTATTGTTCTGGTCCAGCACACTTAGACGAGATTCATCAAATATACGAGAGTACAGCTAAACAATGCTACAAGTACTTTTCCTTGTTATTGGTGAAGGTAATTTTTCACAGGATCAAGCTGCCAAAGTACAATATACAGTTGAATGCAGCCAGATTTGAAGGATACTGCATGCTAGCCCATACTACAGTCAAACCCTAAATCCATAGCGAAACTGTTCTTCTCTAACAATTTGTTATAACTTTTTTTTGTTCAATTACTACTTATTTCATGTGCCATAACTATAATGATTTGACACCATTCTAAATACTCCCGTCAAAATTAAAGGATGTACTAAAATGGTAGAAGGTGCCTTTCAAATGTGACAACTGTGATTACTTTCTTCGGACCTGCTACATTGAAAACTACATAAAACTTGCCTTTGGCTAAAACTTCAAATCAGTAGTGGAAAATTCTTTTATGAGGGAAATACAAACGAACATAAATAGATTAAAAACATAAAAAAACAATAAACCATAAAAGATCAAGACAAGTACAATGAGAGAGTTGTCATTCAGTATCCCCTAAACAAAGCCATATAAATGAAATTATTTCTTAAGTAGCCCAAATTCACCCATTATATTTAGTACTATATCGTTTTGCCTTATTATGCTTTCACAGGTTTCTTTACCTTTGACTCTCGTATTTCAACCCATCGTCAATTCATTTGAATACTCAAGTGTCTGGATCTGACATTATGGTAAATGTCGAGAAAGTTCCAGTATTATTTATTTTTCTAGTAGCTGATTCCTCTTTTTTCAGAAATTAAGTCGAAAAATATGTAAGCATATAGTTAGAGTGACCAAACATCTTATGATCACTTTTTATAATAATATTATTTCAATATTCCAAAAGAGTTTTTCGTAAACATATACATGAGATGTAAATGTCCACCATTCTGTTTCTATTGACCCTTTTGATCTGAAAATTGTTTTAAAGTTCATATTTTCTGAGTGAAACAATAGTTGAATATTTGCTATGATATGACTTTCGGTCACTGATCTTGTCAGTCCTCCTTTATGCATTACTAGCTGAAGTACCCGTCCCCTGGATGAAAGTTATGTAAATTTATTATTAATGGAATGTTATTTTAGGACATGAAAAGTTGCTTCCGCCCATAAAAACTACAAAACACAAAATGTGGAACTGCACATTTGTATGTATCTCCTCATTCCCCCAACAAAATTTCACACCAAATTTGCTGAATATCCATCAAGAGGGGGCGAAGTAGTGGTAAAAAAACGGAAAAACGCCCATAAAAACCACACAGAACTCATAAGAGTCAGGCCTAAGTTAATCACCATCTTCTCGTTGTAGAATTTCTGCTTCTTTCCCATTGACCTCTTACATGACCTGGGACCAGCTAATTTACATTATCTGATCCGGCAGATCAAGTTCTCCCCAGATACCAGGATAACTGCCACAATCTACTTGTATTTAAAGTATGAGCAAGATAGAGGCAGTGTTATTTCAATGTTCCGGATATATGTAGCAATTTCAGATTCCATGAGATTGGCTAAAGTGCTGGCTACGGTGCATGTTGCGCATTATTTGTAACAAACTCTCAATACTCCTGTCTCAAATGTAATGACTTGACCATCCATGTTGGTGGAGATAGATATACCTGAAACTTTTTCTTATTCTCTGAGATGAGATAATTAAAAGGGAGTGCTGTTGATGAAGCTATATCTACTATGGTTGCTGGCCTTTTCTGCTCTATTTTCTTGTTTAAAGTTATCTCTTCAACCTCAATTATACATATATCACCACTATAGGAATCAGAATGTCTCTTACGTAAGCGGAGCCACGTGGTCTCACTTGGTAGATCTTCTATAGCGTTAATCATTACAGTATCTTCTCCACCGACTTTAAAAACTGTATTTATGTCTGGTTAATCTTTACTTGCACAAATAATGCAGTTCTTTTTTGAAGCAACCACATTTGTTAACCTTAAGGTTAGTTCTATTATATATAGGGTTCAACCTGTACCAGAGTTAGTCCCAATCTAGGTGTCCCATTGTTTGAGAGCTAGATCAACCAACAGCGAAACAGTGGGAACTAAGAGAGACACGAACGTGAAGGTTACATGTTTGACCTTGTTTTAAAATAAAGATGTGTCAATGAAAGCTTTAGTTTTACACAACCCTCAAGGTATCATTTAAGCCTGTCATCACTATATATTGTAATACATGTTTTATGAATTAAGGTGTATTTCTGATAAAAGAAATAGCTATATGTCTTGATTTGAGTCTCTGACTTTTTATGGCTTTAATCATAAAGCTTATTTTAAGTTGTATTAAAGTAGTATTAAATAGAAGTTAAGTTGTATTAAAGTAGTATTAAATAGAAGTTAAGTTGTATTAAAGTAGTATTAAATAGAAGTTAATTTGTATTAAAGTAGTATTAAATAGAAGTTAAGTTGTATTAAAGTAGTATTAAATAGAAGTTAAGTTGTATTAAAGTAGTATTAAATAGAAGTTAAGTTATAACATGTCTACTAAACTCACACGTACCCCATAAAATGTTATCTCTCTTTATTTTAGCCAGGTTGGCTTCCATCGTCTTGCCATGGTTTTAAAAAATATATTTCGCTCTTCTTGATGTTCAGAAACACAGTAGGTATGATAGCATTTAATGCCTATGTGAAACATATTTGTAAGGAAAATAATAAACATTCAAATTCCCGTTATCTTAGTTAACTCCTATCCAAAAATTTCTAAGTGTAATTGCGAAAACAGTGTTATTTAAATATCCAAACACTATATATGGAATGATAATATTGAATATACACTTTAAGTTATTACAACACACTCGCGGTCACAAAGTACAGAGCATTTTGCGGCAACAGGTTGCGAACCATAAAATTCGCAGTTCGAATATACTAACCACTAGGCCAAGCTCGGATCTATCTCGTTTGGTTAATTTTAAATTTTAAACCTAGCTTACCTAGGAAATCGAAAGATTTGATCCTTCATTTTGTAATCCATTTGATGTGTTAGAAGAATTCCGTTTACTTTGCTCACTATAACTTTAGTAAAAATTTCGTTCCGTTATTATTAAATACTTTTTCCATGTGCACCTTTGTTAGATTACATGAAAAGAGAAAAGTACTCACCTTTCAATCTTGTCCTTGAAGCTCAGCGCAAAACATATTAATTTGGCAGCAAACCTGGAATAATGAAGAAATGAAGCAATCAATTTTAGATTTAAATAATTGAATTGTTCTTATCAGACACTTTCATGAATGGCATGAAGTTAATATAAAATTTATATTCAATCACATGTGGTATTCATTTTTGTTTTTCAGGAATTTCCCATAAAGCTATGGAAGGGTTATTTGATCTAGACGATAAGCAGTCAGTTAACAACATTCTCCGACGACTTTAGGCTTTTCTTGTCTGATCGAATAGTGGGATTTGACCATTACTCTTATAGCGCATCGAAAACCTCAGATTTAGGAGAAGCGTTTTCGTAACAATAAGATCCTCTATAGGATTTTTCGTAGACTGTGGCCATCCCATTATAGATATAGATTGCCACTAGATGATACTATGGTAACATATAATGTTGAATTAATCTGGCTTCATCACATTGCACACATTTAAGATTGTATATTCACGTAAATATTTTATAAAAAAGGAAAATACTGATAAAAATTTATAATGTGGAAACATTATAAGCCGATTAAGTGTGCTTGACAGGGATACTTATGAATGATAGGGAAGTGAGCTCATCTTTTCTGGTTGAACTATTACTTGACATCGATAACAAAAATCAGAAGTCAACTGCCGACCATTAAAACATGAACTAATATAGGAATATTCAATATTCTGAACAACTTTCATATCGCTTAACTAGTTTTACCAATCATACAAACAATGTGTATAAGTATGCTTTATTGATACTGTCCCCCGGAAAACCCCAAAATCCGGGGTTCGATTCCCCGCGATAAACACAGCAGATAGTCCAATGTGGCTTTGCTCTAAAACAAATAGAGAGTCAAATAGTTATTGATACACTGCTTCCCACTGCAACTTAGAAAATAATGCCATTTTTCTCTAGATTTCGTCATATTAAATGGATTAACTACATTTTAAATTATCATAAATTCTCAAATTTCTCAAATATACCAAATATTAAATTACTCAACCCCTTAAAGAATGTCGCATTACTTAATTAAATTGAGTGTATATTGGGTAGTCAAAGTCATTTATGTAGTAATTATTATTAAAATCACCTGACGATCTGTTTTCATACGATAAGGTAGATTGACCACTTAGAAAAAATAAGCATTCAGAAATCAGTCTGAATGCTCTAAGTGATTAAAAAGTTTTAGATAAAGAAATGTAATTTCAGAATTTTTCTATTTTTTTAACAGCAAATATTCTATTACAATGCTTCCTAATAAAGGCTTAAAATTGTTAGAACTAGGTGCTATTTTTAAACCCATGGTTATTCCATCTATTTTATCACAAATTATCATTAAACAAAAATTGTGACTTTTTATTACGAAATGTTAAATTGATAAGCACTTCCTTAGAATATATTAACAATTTTACCGCCGTTAAGAATAACAACAGCAACTAACTTATTCACTTAGTCAAGAGGTGGACCCGGCATGGCAAATTTGTTAGGATACTCGACTTGCAATTTGCGATTTGCGGGATTGAAAGCCGTCGTCGAACATACTTATCATTTCAGACGTAAGGGCGTTATATATGACTGTCAATCCTACTATTCATTGGCAAAAGAGTAAACTCAAAAGTTGTCAGTGGGTGGTATTGACTAGCTGCATTCACTCTAATCTACCACTTCAAAAGTAGAGATGGCTGCGCCAGCTCTCGATTAGCTTTGCGCGAAAACACTCCAAATAAAACAAATTCATGAATATCACAATTTACTACCCTGGTTATTGGAGGTTCATCAAACACTACAAGAACGATGTCTCAGGTCTAGTGTTTCCCTTTCAACTCCACTGTCGATCATACTCAGTCTTGTGAACATGATTACCCACTATTGTCCAACATCACAACTTATATTGTAATAAGCTTTTCCAAAGAATGGTGAAAACAATCGTAAAACTACACATTTTGTAAGATTTTTTACAGGCTCCCAACTTTACATGGACGACAGCTTCCAAGACCAAGTTTCTGTAAGATTTTTTACAGGCTCCCAACTTTACATGGACGACAGCTTCCAAGACCAAGTTTCTGTAAGATTTTTTACAGGCTCCCAACTTTACATGGACGACAGCTTCCAAGACCAAGTTTCTGTAAGATTTTTTACAGGCTCCCAACTTTACATGGACGACAGCTTCCAAGACCAAGTTTCAGCAAATACAAATAATTCCATTTATCGCGAGGCGAGGACACTGAAAGATGAAGCAAAAATTAGTTCTGCATTATAACCCGAGCTTGGAACTTTTGAAAGACTTGTTTCACTTTGCACTAATAATATGTTTCACCTGTCAAGATAAAACTTATGAACAAATAGACGGCCTAAGCATGGGTAGCCCTCTGTCACCTGGATTATGTGAATTGTTTGTGAACAAAACAGACAGTCAAGCCATTAACACGGCTCTACACCCTCCTACACACTGGTTTAAATACGTCGTCGATGTGTTTTGTGGTTGTGAAGACAACAATCATCAACATTAATTTCTACAACACATAAAGAACATTCACTATAACATCAAATTCACTCATGAAGAAGAGAATGAAAACCAGGTTTTAAATTACATGAACAAAACAATACAAAGAAATTCCAACAGTTTTAACACGAAAATTTTCCACAAATCTGGTAATGATAACTATATAAAGTGGGACTCGGCCCACTCAACTCGACAAAAAATTGGCACATTATCATGCATTTACAACACAGCATTTAACATATGAAGTAGCAGTAATCTGCAACATGAACCAGAATCAATATCGGATATATTTATAAACAAACACTAAAGTATTTGAAAGCTTTAAAATGAACATGTTTAAAATCAAAGCTACAGAGCACATAGTAAATGGTGAAAGGACTAATGTATTAAACAATCTCGCTAAACCTATGTTCCTTGGTAATTTGTTTTAAGTTTGATGAAAATAGAATGAAGCAGAGCCAATTAAATGTTATCACTTAAAGAAACTTTTTCTTTGTTGAACGAAAATGAACTGGATAACGAAACTCAAAATACATATAATGTCTTACCAAGTAATAACTTTTATTAATTATTGAAAATACACAAACTTGAAAAACAGAGATAATTATGAGCAAATTCAATCCAACCTTAGTATTTGGCTTCTTAGTAAAAGCGACAATCAACTGCTCGTCACTCGTATAGTGCACCAACGAGCAAGTGAAGAGTTTTTTTTTTGGGGGGGGGGGGTAGAAGGGGAGGGACGAGAGTGTCTCAGTGGTTAGTGTGCCGAACTATGGAAAAAAAAAGTTACGCTCCGAACTGTGGGGCCCTGAGTACATTGTAACGGAGAAGGTCAAATCCCACTATTTAGTGAGCTTATTTGTTTATTGTTAGCATGCAGTTAAAGGATGGGATATTAGAGCTGTACCTACCACAAATATCAAAACCGATTTTAGTGTTATTATAAGCTCTCATACTTACAGATGAACAATGGGGGGGGAATTAGTTATATTTTATATCAATATTACATGAATTCCACCTTAAGCCTAAAATATTTGAGTCAAGTATTTGAAAGTACTTATTTTGCATTTTATATTTTATTAAATAAGTAAAACAATAACATTCGTACCTCAAATAATCAGTACCACATTTGAATTGCTGCTTGGGAAACAGGAAGAAAGGGTTAGAGTTGATTTGAAGTGGAACAGGATTGCGAAGATACATATCGTCGAGCCATAGAGATGTTGCCTGGAACAAAAAAAAAATAAAAATTAATGATTAACAAATCAAAACCAACTAAGCTATAATATAATTCTATTTAAACAAAATGATCTTTTTGTTAGTGACAATTAATATTTTGGCAACGTATAACCTTCTGTAAACAACTTTTTGTCACCCTGAACTCTGTCCTTCACTCCTGCAAAACGCAAGTTTTAAATTTTCTTTCATCATCCACCCTCATGCGCATATCATATCTAAAGTTATTTGAATTTCTTTCTTTAATGCATATAATCCCATATTAGTCTGAATAATTACTTCATACTTTGTCAAAACATATATATTCACTCCCAAAAACTGTATTCCTATTACTTGTTCAGTTATTCTTCTACGTCATTTATTCTTTTTTTTCCTACACATTTCTATATCATCAGACTTATTTACAAGACAATATTTTACTTTCTAGCTTTTATAGCTTTAACTGCATTATTAGGTGTATTTCAGTTTGTAAGTTACAATAACTTTCTTATTCTTCAGAGAATTCTAAAACAAGCCAAATTTTGTAAAGTAACAATATTTAACTAAGGCGTTAACAAATATCATATTAAAAGTAAGATATGCTTCGACTATGAATAACAAATACTATAATACGCTGTTATAAAAAGCTCATTTATTTGACAGTCCAGAATATACTTCACCGACATTGGTTTAAAAGATAAACAAAACATAAACTGGCATTGTAAAAAGTTTCAAAACACAGTAACAACACGCAGGTTCATATGTGACCACCTATATAGATGAGTAAGCTGAAAAAGCAGCTAATTTCTTTCTAAATAGCTCAGTTCATTGTTTTTACTGCAGTTATCTATATGCCTTTAGCAGATCTAAGCACAAGCCGATTAGCTACTGGTTTGGAACAATCAAAGAAAATTTGCCATGCAAAAGGACTTAAGGATTTACCTTCTCTCAAATGACAAGAAAAAATATTTGAGCTAAAACATTTTGTATACACCAGCGTTTCTCAAACTTTTGTCATCCACACCCCTCCCCCTTAATAAATATGTTTTTTGAGCACCTCTCCTCTTTTTTTTTTAATGAGTGAAAGAGTGAGGTCAGTGACGAGTATGACATAAAAATGCTATATGTGTTTTAGTAATTACTTGTTATTTTCATTAATAAAAATATATTAAAACTCTTAATTTTGCATTATTGTTATATTGACTCCATCCTAATCACTCACGCCCCCGTCCCAAGAGATCATTTGCGCCATCCTGGGGGGCGCAGCTCACACTTTGGAAAACGTTAGTATACAGAAATCATTAAGAATCTTCTCAAAATAGCAATGGATGAAATAGGCCTTGAACAAACTTTCGAAACATGAATTGATAGGATCGTGAATTTTGCAGTTGTTGCAGTTAGCTTTACAGAGGCGAACAAAGAAGGTTAAGAGGTAGCTAACCTTGTTTAAACAAAAACGGTAAACACATAGCTAACCTTGTTTGAACAAAGAAAGTAAACAGAGAGCTAATTATGTATGAAGAAAGAATGTAGACAGATAGCTAATTTTGTTTTGATTATACTTTCTTCTGAAGACTCAAAATCATAGCGTATCGAAAATTCAAATAAAAATGTTCAGGTGACTTTTATGAATTTCATGATGTCTTTACCAAATTCATTACCACTGAACTAACAAATAGGTTGAAAAGATGTAACAGAATATCAACATTCATATATCAAAGTATGCTTTTGCAAGGTGAAATTCTTTCGTTATTGGTGTTTGCGTTAATAAAACTTTATAATTTTTATATAATCTTATCATGAAAATGAACAATAATATCTATGTGGATTGTGAATACAATAAGTAATTTTGTAATTATTATAATTTAATCACGGGATTCTTTTCGTAATAATAGCAATGACAATAATATATATTTAAACAAATATTTGGATTCAAGTTAGATTTATATAACCGAGAAAACTAAAATTGATGAACAAGATGGCTATTAGTAAAGTTGTCAAATAGCAGAAGCACAAAATGTTATAAAGTGCGATTTAAATTATGAAATCATTAAACAAACATTTAGAAAACGTTTAAAAGCAGAATGATTGAATTCGCCGCTATGTGTATGGAAAATATTTGTGTTGTGTAATTAATTCACGTTACAATCCATATTTCTGGTCCGGTTGTAAATCATCATATTTCGTCCATGTAACTAATATTATGCCGGCATACTGAAATTTCACAAGATTTACCAATACTAATTTGCAATTAGTATGACATTATATTGTGTGGTGCAGCTGCAGAATAAGTACACTATGGCTTCTATAAATCAAACACTGTTAATTTTTCTCAGTTCAGTCATACTATAACAATAATGTTATTTTTATTTAGAAAACAAATCTAACAAGTTCCATAAGATTTAAATATAAAAAAAGGGTATAGCGGACAATATTGTTTTAAGTTGAGCTTTAGGTTAGCAATCACAAGACCATCTCGTAATCTTCAATATATGACATTCTCAATTCTGTCCTCGAGATGGCAGCCTTTAACTTACTGTGAAATCATAATAGATAAGTTGATATATGTAGCGGGTATTGTGGTGGATATTACTTCTAATTTAGTGGATATTATAACTTTGGATTTCAGAAGCAAGAAGAGTTAAATACGGACACAACAAATCAACGATCGTCCTTTGGAACTACATTCTTGAAACGAAAAACAAAAATTAAGATTTCCAAAGGGATCTAACTTCTTTCTCTGAGCTCGCACTGCCTGAAATAGCAGTTAATTTTTGTAGCATATATATAACTTGTATAATAAGGCTTAACATTAAACTCTAATATTTGAATGAACAATGTTATCAATAAAACCAGTCCTGAGCTGCTGCTTCTTATATATATTACGAACCATGGTGTCTGTCCAAGCGTTCGTCTGTCTCACGTTTGAAAAGCTGTGCACGCAAGCAAAGCTCAACGTTCACTTTTGAAGTGACAGGAGAACAGACATGAATAATGTTGATGCCAAATTTTATTACGCAAGCAGGATATTCTACACTAAATTGTTAGGGATTAATTATGCACAAAAATTATTTCAAAATGTGACGTAACTTAAAGATTTACCGTATGTATTGTTGAGCGGCTCTTAGCATAACTAAAATGCTCAACAATTACTTTTTGCTGTGGGCAGTATAAGTAGGTCAGAGATTTGGCTCCGAACGAAACCAAGAGTGCAACACAAATAACCTTTTTAAAATCCATGAACTAATTGATACATTACCTTAAACTTTTCTTGTCACTGGGGACGGGTACGTTCGCTTGTCTTCATATAATATTGAATTTAATTATTTCCTCAGGTCACAAAATGTAACTTTCTACTATTCAAAAAACTGCATAAATCAAAACATAAACCAGATAGATTTTAGAGGCTATGAGTGTACAGTTGTCATATAAGCCAAAAACAAAGCATTGATAATTTATTTTCAAAGTATCCAAAAGTTAATGTTGAAGCATGTTATTATTTGATTGTTTTGAATTTCGCGCAAAGCTACACGAGGGCTATCTGCGCTAGCCGTCCCTAATTTAGCAGTGT